ATGGATTCACTTCAATTTAATTAAACTAAATTCAATAAGTCAAGGCAGCCATTTGAGATTTCCCAATGACTACTTAAATCTTTTTAATCTTAAAGCTATGGGTAAAATACTTATTTATAAACAAGCAATTTGGACACAATTCTGTGTTTGAATTACTAAAAATCATCACTCATTGTAGTCTGTGTTTCCTTGGGCTGGTGGCTTACGTTCCAGCCAAAGGTTGGGATCTTGGGTTATATGAAGCTCCTAAAAAAAGCCTAGAATGTCCTCCAAAACGGTACTATAACTACTAAAAATAAAAAAATCCATGGATAGCCATATTTTATGGTTGTATTTTCCATATAGAGAATATTAAAAAATAAACACAAATGTTTTAATAAATCTCTGGCCACTTGTCACAATGATGTGTTAGAATTTCCCTTCTCCAGTGAAGAGTTAAAGGAATTTACACATCCCCTGGGACCCCTTTTCCTGTGGGTTTTACCAGATCTGAGGAGAACATGAGTTTCAAAGAGAACTGGGCAGCTTCTTAAATTCTCTTAGCATTCAGTGCTGCACAGAAAGTGCAGATGTGCTTTCAGGCATTGTTCTGCCAGGGACTGTCTGGAATTCAGTCTTTTTGGGTACACTGGAATCTGTGAGAGCCCACAGAAATCTCACTTTGATTGCACAGACACAGCATTTGTATCAGCATTACACTGACACCTTGAGAAGAGGCAGGAAGGCAGTATTGGTGTCTCTTTCTAGTATGAAATAAAAAATTCCTCTCTTTGCTTAGACCAGGTGTGTGCTTTGTGTGCTGCACCACACTCACATCCTGTTATCTCCATGGCAGGTTCAGTGCAGTTTATTCCCAGCACAACATTTCATATTGTGGCATTCCTGACACACAAATTTAGCACTGACCAGGTTATAAAAAGACAATTGGATATGTTATTCCAGACTGTTCAGATTTTTCTTCTGTCCCACATTTTTCACACTGTTATTTTTTTCCTAATATCCACAGAAAGTATGGACCTACTTTAGAAGAAGGTTGGCTGTCCTAAGGGTTAACCTGCTAAACTAAAAAAAAGTCTACACTTACCCTCTTGCAATCAAATCAAGACAAAATACTGTTTTACCTTAAAGACAGGATCCAGAACTAGCTGGCAGAATGTCCTCAGCAACTTCTTTCCATCTGGGCTAGAGGCTCATTTGCTGAGTTTTCCAATTGCTGGATCAAAACATCTGAAGGAGATGTTTATTTTTACTCATCCATTTCCCCTGCAAATTTCCACTCAGTTACTTTTAAAATAAAGCTTTGCAAAGTTTCACATTTAAGCAGAGATTCAAATAACAGAAGGTGGCTAATTTCAATATAGAATAACTGCTAGAAGTCTGTGAAGGCAAAGGATGGCTTTTTGTTAATTTAGGCAATTGATTGATTGATTTTACTATAAACATTGCGTTTTTCCAGGTTGGACAGGGGTTTGGAACCACCTAGTCTAGTGAGAGATGTCCCTGCCACTGGCAAGGGATTAGAATAGATGATTTTTAAGGTCCCTTCCAAGCTAAACCATTCTGGGATTCTTTGATTTCTTGGCTTTTACGGGGAAATAGGCACTTAATGTGGTTTTACTATCAAGAATTCTCCTAGTCCACCCTGCTATCTCTAACTGCCTTTTGAAGCCTTGCTAAAATCATTTAAATAAGATAAATCCTGGAGGAACCTGTGAGCTACATGAATCAAGGTAGGTCCGTTTATTATAAGGCAACAGAAGACAAGCAAATACATTGAACTTTCACACCTGTATAAATCATTCTGTTAACAGCAACTACACAGCTAATAACAAATCGAGCCTGTTAGTTTCAACAATTTTGGGTCCATTAAATTCACACAAACACTCATGGGATCATAAGACTGGATTTGGTCCATCATCTTGTGTTTGTACATTAATTTTATCAATGCAGGCCAATGAAATCATTTAGGTCCTGAAGCTGTGAGAGTGAATATTTTCCCTCTGCTCTTACAGAGAAGAGAAGGCACATGAAGAATATCTGCATGACAAGAATTTTCCTTTCTCGGTGTCGCGGTTTAACACTCAGATGTTTAAATATTTTTGTTTCAGGAGTTCCAGACTCCCTCCTGGGGCTGCCTGTGGGAGCTCAGCCTAGCAGAAGCACTTGTATGCACCGCTGACATCCTCAGAGTGTCACTGTGGTATCTCAGCATGGATCTGCAGCCTTCTCTCTGCTTCCTTTCCACCCCAGAGGCTTCTCTCCAGCTCTTCCACTTCTTTTCAAGCTCAGCCACAGCTTTGAAGCAAGAGTATCATTCCATACATCAGGAATATTTATAACAAAAGTCAAATGAAAACTTGAGAAATGTATTTCTAAAGCTCCAAGTAGGATCTGGAGGATGATTGCTTTGTGATGTTAACTGAGTTGTCAGTGAACTTTCTCTGGCATTTTAAATAGAGGTGGCTCATTCCTGCCACACAGATGGAACTGGCCTGACTTAAGGGTGGCTGAGATCCATGGAATATAAGAATCAGCGTAAAATCCTAGCTGAGAGACCTTTATTTCAGTAACTAGGTAAGCTGCAGTCAATTTCAGCTGTGAAACAAGCCAGTACAGGGAGAATTCCATCTGAACAAAGGGAAACAGGACTCAAAACTGGTGAGAAAGTCAGTCTTGTACCTCTTTGCTGAAAAAAATAGTATCTGAACCAGCACAGTTCTGACAATTCCTCTCCCTAACAGCTGGATGACCAGAGGAAACTTCCAATTGACTTTGCTTTTTTATTTTTCAGTTCTCAGCTGCAACACAGGAAATACCATTTGTCTTTTTATTCAACTGTGTTTCCAGAGGTATCCAGCACATTATCATATAATTACTGATAGAAAAACAGAGACATCTTTATGTCAGAACGGAGCAAATTAAATATCTTCTCAGTCAGGAACAGCAGAAAGGCCACGTTTCTTGCTGTGTAAGTGACAGAAGCAGCAAAGTGAGGCTCAGAAAACCAATCTTTCGGATTTAAAATCCCACAGCTCCCCTTCAGCAGTTTGCTCCAGCCAGATGTCTGATATTTGGGATTTGAATGACACTGAGAAACCACTTCGAGGATTCATATTTTGTCACTAGAGGATGACCTGCTTTGTGAATTCTCCCTTCCCACCCAGTTGCTATCACTCCCCAGTTGTTTGGTCTGAAATAACATCACCAAAAGAAAGAACATGGGACAATGAGAGGGAAAGGGGACTGAAGAATGAGTCTGAACTGCCATCATAAATGTATGCAATTATTTTGCTTCAAGTCTGGTATTCTCCAAAACTGGGTTTCAACCACAGCAAAGTTTTTATATCTTCTTTACCATATTATCACTCATTGGTGCAATTTCATCTTCACCATATGTGGAACTGGTGACAGTGAAATTTTCCACAACATTCTAGGTTCCCATGCTTCTTGGCTGTCAAGACTCCAAAGATTTGTGTCTGGATATTATGGATCCTGCACTTTTATTGCTTCCAAAAGAGGCAGGAGGAGGGCTGTTTTTTCTTTCTAAGACGTTCCCTCTTTTCTATATCCTCATCCTGATATAGTCCTTGTAACGCCTCTCCTCTCTCCCCTTCTCCATGAAAATGGAGGGAGACAACAGAAAAACCAATCTGTGAGTGGCTAAAAATGTTAGAGTTGCATTGTAGTAAGGAAAACAAAAAATGGAGTATACAACAATAAAAAGAAAATTGTGCAAAAGAGGTAATGGCTTAACCAACAAAGGTGAAGTGTCACATGGAGCCCTGGAACAAAGACAAGATGGGAGGGCTCAGAGAAGGATTCTGATGGTAGATGGGTGCTGCTGGTGCTGCCTGGAGCAGCTGTGGACCTGCAGTGGCAGTTTCCTGCTCCCTCTCTGCAGCACAGATGGTGGGAGTGGTGATGGTGATGGGTGTCTCTCCCTGCACAGCTCTGTTTGGCACTGCTGCTATCATCAGTCCGCCTCGCTGGGCGTGCACGTGGGAATCGGATCTGCTGCTCCACTGCCTCTTCCTACCACCCTGCTGGGCTCCACTGGGCTTGGCTGGAGTCCCTTTTGGCTTGGCTGACCTCACTTGGTATCAGTGTCACCACTCTGGGCTGCCCTGTTCTGCTGGGGCAGAAAAGCAGTCCCACGTGCCACCCTGGCCCTGATGGTTTCAGCTGTGTGTCAGAGCTGTCACTTCCGTGCCACCCATCTCAGCCCTGTGGCCTAAAAAATACTGTGGAAGGACAAAACTGGGGGGGAAATGGTGGTGGTGCTTTGGTCCCAAGGCCTCTCTGCTAGAGGGAGCCAGACAGAAGGATCCCCCTTGCATTTCTGGTCATGGCATTTCCCTGCTGAAATCACACCCATGGCTGTGATGGAAAATGTTTGGAATAAACAGTGCTGAAAGATCTATGACCTGATCTCTGTAGCTAGGAGAAACCTCTAAATGGAATTGAAGCAGTGCTTCTCCTTGTTTGCTGCTTTCTAGAACTGAGCAAGGTCCAGCTGGAAGAAGCCTTCTGGTTTTTGCTCAGAAGCATTAGTGGCCAAAGAGCACATCCTGCTTCGTTCCCAGTGCTCAGCTTCTCAGGGTGGGTTATAGGGGCTTAGTGTGTTCTTGGAGTTATTCTTGGATGCCTTGAGCAGTAGGTTATGGACTAGGAGGGCTTTTTGTGTTGCTCTGTAGCAGAGGAGAGCTTTGCAGGCTTTTATTGGCCTGAGCTGTAGAGAAGGTCTGGTTCTCTGCACTCTTTGAGTTCACAAACCAGCCTAGGGTGGCTGCTGTTGTGATGTCAGCGCCGCATCCCAGGGTTGCCAAGGCAGAGTTGCTGTGCCCAAGCCCGGCAGGGCTCAGTGAGCAGAGCATCTCTGCTATGCTCACTGCTGGCAGAACCTGCTGATCGCCGACGTCTCTGCCAGCAGAACTCGCAGGATTTTTGGGTTTTCCCCACAGGCGTTGTCTGGTGCAGACTTGAGCAGCGCTGCTCAGGCCATGGAGAGAGTGTGTGCTGCAGCTTGCACGGCTTTCTCCTTGGCCTATTCTGGGTACTTTCTCACCCAGCTGGCACGTAAGTGGATGGTTTTGTGCAGTGTGGCATGGGGACACCAAAATGCCACCAAGAGGCCTTGAGTTGGGTAAAGCTGCTGTCAGCACCTGCAGCTAAGAAGGGGCCTGGGCAGCATTTGTAATGTAGCCTGTAGGGGTTCTGCTCCTCCCGTGCCATAGCCTGTGGCAATGGAGTCTGGAATCTCCTCAGTTTTCTGGCTCAAGCCAGACAACTTCCAAGACAGGAAGACTTGGGAGAGTTTGGCAGGAGTCCTTGGAAAAGCTGTGCACTGCTCTCCAAAACAGAGTGAAAGTTCCTCAGTTCAAATCTTCTTGTCTGCATTCCCTCATCCCAGCATGTGCCAGTGAACTTGACACTTCCTGAGTGCTAAAAGAGCCATTCCTTCTGGGATGAAATCAGGGAATCAGCTTGGAAAAGGCCTCTGAGATGGACATTTCAGAGCAGTTCTTGTATGCTCCGGAACCCAGGAGCTGTTCCCATGTTGTGACATCACAGAACTGCCACCATGGCTACAGGGGACTTGGGAGAACCTTTTCTGGGGAAGGGTTTTCAGTAAGCTCATGGCAATTGCTGCATGCAATCTCTTCAGAAAACTGAAGTACAGGAAAGAGGGGAGCCGTAGCTCCTGCTGGGTGGGGTGGGGCAGAAGCTGGAATGCCTGTTACAGAACCGCTGGGACTTTCTCAGTCTCAAGTTCCTATGGGTTGAGTGGCCAAAGAGGACAAAAGGTAGACACGAGGCAGTAGTTTGTGCTGTTGCCTTGCTTGCTGTGTGGCACAAGGGCTGCTGCTGGAGTGATGGAGTGAAAGCAGAATGCTCTGTCTTTGGTTGGTGACTTTTTGGTGGGCTTGCCCAGCACAGGCAGTTTCCTTACAGCATCTGGTTCTTTTTCCCTTGTGTGTTGCAGGTCACATCACCCGTGCCTGGAGAGAATCCGCTCCTTGGGTGAGTGGGAAAGGAGCCTTTGGTGTGGGTAGCATTTCCCAGTTGTGGAGCAAGCTGTGAGCTGGGCCTGGTGCAGTCCAGTGCCAGCCTGGTTGGATGAATGAAAGAACAGTCCAGGCTCTTTGCAGCAGCAGCAGCAGCTGCAGGAGGAGCTGGATCCCAGGCTCTTTTCTCCAGTTCCTTTTTGGAGGTTTTAAGCAGCTGAAAGTGGGGTTGCTTGGTGCTCGAAGCCATGATGGAATTTCTCTTGTACAAGAGAGTGCAGACCCGTCTAACTGGACCATATTACTTGAGCCTGAACAACTTAGAATGCCATTTCTCTGCAGATGATTTCTCCTTAGTGCATCTGGCTCTAGAGCTGAATACAAAGGTTACCTGTCCCTGACACTGCTGTCTGTCTGCAGAGCCCAGAACCGACCTCTGAGACTCCTCTGGCTGCGTGTCTTCCTGAGGAAGAGGCCAAAGGGGAGGAAGATTCCCACCAAAGTGCACCTGCTGCCACTGCAGAGCCTGAGCATCCAGAATCAGTAAGTGGCAGCTCTGGGCAGTCCCGTGGCTGGAGCAAAGCAGAGCTGCAAGTTTCTGAGCAGACAGCACCTGCCGTGCCTGGCTGGAGATGCTGAGGGCTGGAATCTTTCCAGCTCTCCCAGAGCACTTCCCTCAGCCTGTGAGGCCTGGAGAAGGGGTGTGGAACTTGGACATTTAGGCATCATTTCCCTACTGTTCTGACAGGGACTGGGAATTTGTTTCACCAAGAGACAAGAGGTAGAATTAGGATGTCTTTGGATGCTCCTGGGGTACAAGTGAGGCCTTTTGTGCCCAGGGGCTGTGCAGGCTCCTTGTCCCCAGTGAAGAGAGCAGTGCAAAGGTGCAGTTCACAGCCTTGCAGGATATGAGGAGACTCTGTCCCCAGGAGGGACCTGGCCCTCCCCACAGAACAGCCAAAGTCAGCAGCAGAAGGAACAGCTGAGATGCAGCGGGGCCAGTAGCTGAAGAGATGTAAGGTTCTGAATGACAGGTTCTTTCCTGACCCTCCTGCTGCTGTCTGTGCACAGGGCACAAGCGCAGTGTCAGCACCTGCTCTGGCTGCCTCTGCACCTGAGGAAGAGGCTGGAGAGGAGGAAGGTGCCAATGAGCCTGCCCCTGATGTCAGCCCACAGCCTGAGCAGCCAGCATCAGTAAGTGCCTGTTTGGGTTAGCAGTGCCTTTGGTGTCATTCTGTCCCTCATGTAAAAGCGGGGTTTTGTGCCTTGAGCTGGAGAAGTGGGCTGCAAAAGCTGAGAGGTGACGAGCCCTGGATGTGGCCAGCAGCGCCTTCCTCGGGGCTTGCATTTGAAATGGGATCGGAGGGGCATCTCTGCCAGGCACATTGGTGACCCAAATCAATTTCTTGTCCCAGAGCTCCAGCTCCTCTGTCGTGGCACCTGCATGGGCTGCAGCTGAAAGCTCTGAAGAAGCCTTCAGTGCCCAAACTGGAAACTCAAGCAGGAGCAGCTCGTGCACCTGGAGCACGACGAGTTCCTCTGGCAGCAGAGAGCAGCTGGGGGAGAGCACGGAGGACAAGTGCCTGGCCATGCTGAGTGCGTCCTTTGTGACCCTTGTGTGCTGAGCAGTGCCTGGTGTGTGCGAGTGTCAGCAAGAGCTGTCCCAGCTCCTGCTCCTCCTCACTGAGTGCCGGCTCCTGGGGCCTCCATAGGAGCTACTGTTGTGCTGTGAGGTGGGGAGGGATCGCTGGGCTGCTGCTCCAGCCTCTGAGGGCAGCTGGGCCTGAGCTTCCCTCTCAAAAGGCAAAGCAGAGATTGTTTCTGGCTGAGCAGGAGGCTGTGACCGAGTGGATGGGGAGGCCTCCAGAGCTCCTGTGGGGCACGGCCAAGGTCATCTTCAGAGCTCAGCCTGTCCTAAAGGCTGAGGGACCTCGTTCCTAAGGCCCATCACAGTAGGGTAGAACATCAGCTGCTGCTCTTGGAAGGCAGAAGGGCATTGTTTAGGCAAAGTCCTGCTGAAAGCTGGAGATCTCAGCTCTGCTGGAAGCACTTTGCAATATTCTTCCTGTTCTGGAAAGGGAAGCTGTTGATAAAAATGGATTCCAGAACCCAAGATGGCTTGCATGTTTGCAAGGATTAAAGCTTTAGTTGAATGTCCCAGAGTGTTCATTGCCAAGAACAAAAAAATTATGTTTGTCCTGCTGCCCTTAATGTCTGAAGGCAACAATCACTTCTCTTCCTTACAGTTTTTTGATCCCTGTCTCCTCTGACTGTTTCTTGATGTGCTTAGATTTTAATTTAGACTTCTAGTTTTGGACAGGCCATCTGTGCTGCAGGGCTGATTGTCTTGCTGCTGCTGTTTTTGAGGTGGTGGTGTGGTGGTGTTGTTTCCTGATGGAGTGAGTTGAAAGGGCGCAGTGTCCCAGAGTGGGGCTGCCTTTCTGATCTGCTGCAGGGTGGGATCTCTTTTGAAGGGAGCATCTTTCCTTGGGATTTTTACAGAGATGCTGGTGAGCGAGGGAGATCCTGAGGCTAAATACATAGAACTGGAAACAATTGGCAGAGGGTGAGTGCAGCCACAGTCCCTTCCAGTTACTGTTTGCCCCAGGACTTTTTTCCTCTTGAACTGCAGAGTCCTGCACTTGCAGGGACTAAAGGACTTCTTCTTTCCCTGCTGCTGTTTTGTTTCTAGGGGTTTTGGCACGGTGTGCATGGCAGTGGAGACTGCCACAGGAGAAGAGGTAAGCATCAAGCAGCACCACAGCATCTGCAGTGCTATTTTAGGACAGCATTTGATCTGTGGTGTCTGGAAGGGTTTGCTTTGTTGCTTTTGTGCAATGGAGAATGCCAGTGGTTGCTGGAGGAATGATCAAGCCCCCTAGAACTGCCAAAGGTTGCCCAGCACTTTTGCTCCATTTTTACTGGCAGAAATTGGCTTTCTGCCTGCAAGAGGTGTGTGAATGAAAATGGGGATGTTAAAGTAAAGCCATGGGAGAAGTCTGTGGGCATGGAGAGTGTTTTTAGAGCTTTGAGGTGGGCAACTTAGACCATATTTCTCCCAGGTTTCCAAGGAAAGGGTATCTGGCTCTTTGTCCTGGGAGGTGCCCAAGCAAGTGGTCTCATGTCCAGCCACAAGGCAGTTTGGCCCAACCCAGCTCTGTCACCCCATAATCACTGTCTCCATGTTCCCCTGGTGGTTCTGTGTCACCGACTTTGGTTCATGGTTTTCCATGTCATTTTAGGTGGCCATAAAGAAAATTAGTCTCCTGGAAGAGAGCAACAGGGAGGTGTGCCTGAATGAAATCCAGGTCATGCGTGGCAATAGGGATGCCAATCTTGTGAGCTTTATAGACAGGTGAGTGGTTCTGCTGTTCTGCCGTGAAAGGTCATTCACATCCAGCAAGCCAGAGGTTCAACCACTCCTTTGGTGGCTGGCAGAGAATGGAACTGTTAATTCCTGTTTCTGGGCTGATCTACAGCGTCTTGGGAGGAGATTGCATTGGGGCTGCATTCATCTTTGCTGGCATACATAGTTTGAAGTGTGCTTTCAAAGACTGGCCTTGGCCCTGTCTTACTGAGCCAACAGCCTCCAAGTTCCTGTCCTCTCTCCACCATTGCTCAGTTCACTTTGGCATTTGATTTTTTCCCACGGGTCTCAAGTGCTGACAAAGCGCTGTAGATTGTATTTCCTTTGCCCTGTTGCATTGGTGTGGACACCAAGCAGCCTTTAGACTGCAAAGTGTTCAAGCCCTGTAGAGCATCGTGAATGACTATTAACTTCCTCCTGTCTTCCTCTGAGAGAGACACAGGAGCAAGAATCCATCAGGTCCTGTAAGTGCACACCTTCATCTCCAGGCTGTTGTTTCCTCCTTTCAGCTACCTGGTGGACGAGGAACTTTGGCTCGTGATGGAATACATGGACGGAGGTTCCTTACACGATATCATTATGGAGACTTGTATGGCAGAAGGAGAGGTAGCAGTTGTCTCTCGGGAGGTAAGGGACGGTGCTTGTGCTTCCCATGGCTCAGTCGGGATGGTCCTTCCAAATGGGTGATAAGGAGAGGAGAGATTTCCCCTTCCAAGCTTCCTTTCTGCATTTCTCTTATGCCTGGCAGTAGCAAGAGCAGATGAAGTGCCTGCCAGTGTCCCTGCCCTTCTTCTAGTGTGTTTGTGATTGTCTCTCTAAAGCCTTGCCTGGAGCCTGTGTGTGCACAAGAGCAAAGGTGCTGGTGGCACCATATCGAGCAAGTGGCAAAGACAAAGGGATACTCACAGGACTCTCACAGAGCTCAGCCTCAAAGGAGAGCCCTGCACCCCAAGTGGTGTTTGCAAAAGCAGCCACTGTTTTCTGGCTGCAGAGAGTACAGGCACTGCAGCAGTGCACCTTGAGTCTGTGTTTGCAGGGCACTGGCCAGAGGAACAATTGCCCTTTCCCTTTCAAAAGCAAACAGCCCACCCTTAGAAAAGCACTGCTGTCCTCGTGTTGGAGCAGCCAGCTCTGCTGCCTTTGCCAGCAGCCTGTCCTGCCGTGGCTCACCATCCCCCAGGAAGTCAGTCCTGCAGGTGTGCCACTGCCCTGCTTGTGGGACGAAATCCACTCATTCTCACGTTTCTTTTTCCTCTCTCAGTGCCTGCAAGGCCTGGATTTCCTTCACTCCAAGCAAGTGATCCACCGAGACATCAAAAGCCACAACATTCTCCTGGGCTTGGACGGCTCTGTCAAGTTGGGTGGGTGTTGTTGGCCAGGCTCAGCCGTGGTGGGCTGCGGTGTGGGTCTGCCTTTGGGTGCTGCAGTTCCCTGGTGCCTGTGGCAGTGCAGGCTGCCCTGCTGCGAGCCAGAGCACAGCCACAAGCTGCAGGGAGGTGTTGCTGGGCAGAAGAGGCCAGGAGTGCCTTTGGGTTGTATGTGTCTCTTCCCCAGCAAGGCAGCTGCAATCTAATAGCTTCAGGGGACTAAAAGCCACTGCCTGCAACCAGGGGCTTTTGCTAAGTGGACAATTGAGTATTTCCTCAGCTGCAGGCCCGAGGAGTGGCAGCATGGCCCCTTGTACAGATGGATTCCACACTGCCTTCTTGGACATTGGTACAGTTGGGAATTCTTTTGTTTGCTGTCCTATTTCACGCCGGTTTGACCCGAGGGGTTTTTTCTCCGCAGCTGATTTTGGCCTTGCTGTTCAGCTCACCACTGAGCAGAGCAAACCGAGATCAGTTGTTGGGACTTCTCACTGGATGGCGCCAGAAATTGTCACCAGGAAACCTTACGGCCCCAAAGTAGACATCTGGTCCTTTGGTATTGTGGGGATCGAGATGGTGGAAGGAGCGCCTCCTTACCTGCAGAACACCTCCCACACGGTACGCTGCAACTACTCTCAGATGCTGCTGTCACTCTGACAAAATCTGCTCCCATTCTGCTGCCTGGGAAGCTTGCTAACACCTGAAAATGAAAGGTGCCAGGCTGTATAGTCTGTTATTCTTCTTGTCCAGATTATCCCTTTGGCATTTCATCATGAACAGCACAAGAAAATCATGATGCCTTTTGCTTGATGGAATCTTTGCCTAAGGGAGCAGTAAGCAGAGCTGAGCTGGATTTTATCAAGAATCCTTTGAAATAGTAAAGTTAGATTAAAGTCTGTCTTCCACATTGCCTGTAGAGCAAGTGTCAGTGCTCAGAGAAGCAAAGTGTGCTTCTGCTGATGGATTTGCTCCTAATTCCATCAGCACATGAAATCAGGGGTCAAGGCAAGAGCCTTTGCATATTGGACTGGCTACGGCTGCCTCTGGCTTTGGGTTCTTTTAGTAGGAGTAGGAAAGATATCTCCCTTTCTCTGGCAGGGAGTGAAGAATCACTGGAGAGTGAAGCTTTTCCACTGGGATCTGTGTGAGCAGTTTGGTGTGTGAAGGTGGCAGGTGGAGCATGGCATTTCCTTCTTCTCTAGGTTCAGCAGCTGATAAGCACCAGGGGCACCCCGAAGCTGCAGGAGCCCAGGCAACAGTCGGCTTGGCTGCGAGACTTTCTGCAGTGCTGCCTGGAGACGGACGAGGACAGGCGCTGGTCTGCCCAGGAACTTCTGCAGGTAAAAGGCAAAGCGGCTGCCAGGGGCTCCTCGTCTGCTCCAACGCAGCAGATGGGCCCTGCTCCTGAGAATCTCCAGTCTGGGGGCTTTTCAAAGGAAAACAGAGGAGAATCCTGGCCAGGCATGGGTTGGGAGGAGCCTTTCGAGGTCACCTAGACCAAATCTCCTTCATCTGTAGCCATCTTGGTTAATGGATTTGTGGGATTGGGAGTCGTGTTTGCCTCATGTAGCAAGGTCCTGTATGTGGAGACAGAGGTGCAGGGAATGCCCTCGTTTGTGTATGATTCTGGTTGCCAGAGAAATCCAGTATCAGCCTGTGAGGTCAGTAGAAATTAATTTCTTCTTTTTCTCTTTGGGCAGCATCCGTTTGTAACTTCAGCCAAGCCGACCTCCAGCCTGACGCCTCTGATCGTGGCAATGCAGCAGTTTATGGCCGACAGGAAATACTAGCCCTGGAAGAGGCCATTGTTGTTTTTTGTAGTTTCTAGTTTCTGTTCTATAGGTCCTAGTTCGTAGTTTCTTTAGATCGTAGTCAAATAAGATAATAGTTGTTATAAAAAGAAGGACTATAAAGTTATGCTAACCTAGTTATAGAATTATCCTCTATTAGAATGTTGTTATTACTGTTAATCACTTCCCTGTGTTCATTCCTTGTTAGAAATCTTTCTGTGTTAGGTTCTGTTTCACTGTGCTGCCGGCTGTTGCTTCCTGGAAAATGACACCCCGGGCCATCAGAGACAGTATGCAAATACAGGAACTCTTCAGAAACTATGCTAGAATCACCTAGAACTATGAACTTTCACAAAATTATGGACCGGGACACTTGCGGAAGGGTTGAGCAATTAACTCTAGTACCTAGAGAGATGCTTTTAATCTGTCGCTCTAACCACAAGAGACCTCGAATAGCGTGAGGACCTTAGACCATAGCACAGACCGTGAGAAGAAGGGGAAGAACCCTGCCACTCCTGTGAGGACAGATCCCCCAGCTCTGCCTGCATGTGAAGTGGACAAAGCTGCATTTCCTCCTCCTCGGCGTCCCTCCGGGAAGCAGCGGCAGTGTGCACAGCCTGTTGGGCCCCCACCTGAGCTGATCTCATTAAAGAAAGGCATTTTAAAGGAGAATCATCTCCTGCCCATTTATTACAATAAGTAAGACCTTCACTGTGTTGGAAGTTTCCCTTTGTTCTCACCCTGTGAATAAGCTCTAAATTTGCTTCTGAATGTTCAGGTGTTTCTTAAATGTGGGAAGAGCCATAGATGGGGTTTGTGTCATGGACTGGAAGCGGGCAAAGGTCTTCTGCCTTTGTTGCCTCCAGACCACAACCTCTTGTGGAGAGACAGGCTGGCAGCTGTGACTAGAGGAGCAGAGTAGGGCCAAATGGAGCAGAGCAGTGGTGTCAGTGCTGGGCATGCTGCTGTGTCTGTGGTTGTGCCGCAGCTCTTGGGAAAGGTTGGGAGTGTCTGTGCTGCTGGGGGCAGAAAGGGAGGGAGCCGGGCTTCTCCACAGGCTCATGAGCAGGTGTGACTCCACTTCTGGGAAGACTTGCATGGTCCCTCAAGCCTTCCTCTGACATTGAGCAAAGTCTTGGTAGGCTCTTGCTCCAAGAGTCCCTCTCAGAGCTGGGACAAAGGCTCCAGGCCAACCCTCTTGCAAGGCAGATGCCAACCCCTGCAGCCACTGTACTCCAAAGGAGCTTGGTGCCAGCCCCTGGTGCTTCTCTAGGGAAACTGAGCACCCTCCCCACAGCACACTGCCTGCATGGCACTGGGCTGGAACCACTTACCCAGGTGTGGGCAATCCCTCCTACCTAGGGTGAGGAATAGCCCTGTGATGTCCAGCCTTTTCACAGGCCAGAGATCAGAGATCTAATGCATATCTAATCATTGACTCTGGAGGCAGGCAATCTGAGCACCATTGGTTCCAGCATGGTGTCCACAGCCCTCAGGATCTGCAAGGACGACAGAGAGTGACAGCAGTGATTTTGCTGTTCCTCCTAACCCTGGAAGGCTCAGCTGAACTCTCAGGGATAAGGCAGGATGTACATCCTGCCCAGAAGAGAGACATGGGCAGAGAGTTTGCTGACTACATATAAATAGACAAATACCCATTTCAGTTAAAAAATTTAATTTATCGCAGATTGCTATAACTGTACTGCCTATATCTAAGCATGCAAATATCAGTATATCTATCTAAATATCCATATACCTCTAACTGTGTAAGTATAATAACATAATACATCTATAAGCGTAAGTGTATAGAGAGGGATCCCAGGTCCATTTTCACAGGCTTTCCCTTGGTAGCTTCCTCTTATGCAGAGCAGCCTTTCTGGAAAGGTACAGCAGATGGACATCTAGGAAGTAAAGGGAACACTGAGTCAACACTGGACCTAGTTTATGTCTCCCCTGGCAGCACATCTAGCAATTGTACTTTTACCACAGACTATAAAACATTGTCCAAAAGGCAGGTTCTCCCTTGGAAATTTGAACCTGCTGTTTGAAGAATAGGAATTCTTCCAAGTTTTCAAAACCTTAAAGTTTTGAAGTATCCTGAAAAAAGCTGCAACACTAGCACTGTAAATGGCACCCACAAGAACTTTGAACAGAGACATTCACATCTCATGAAAAGAACTCCAGCCTTGTTTATTCTTTGTACTGACAAAGAGACCTCACTCCTCACTTAAATGGGAGAAACTGATGGGCATTGTGAGATGAGTTATTACCTAACATTGCTACCTGGGACAGAGAAACTACCCTGTGAAGTGAGTAACCTCTTCTTCAACTCTTCCATCAGCTCTTGGATTAACTTCTCTGATCTTCCCTTTTTGTAGAAGTCAGGCTCAGAGTAGCTGTCTCAGTCATCTCTAAAAACATGTAGAATCTCTTCTCACCAGGGTCCTTTGGCTCAAGGGAACTGTTCCCACAGCTCATGCTTTGTCAAGAGAAGCTCTCCCACCACAGTGTTCACAGGCTCACTTCCTGAAGACACACACTGACCCAAAATATTCTTCTTAAAAGAATAAAAACAAAAAGAAAAAAGAAGCAAACCCAATGATCACTTGCTATTTTCTTGCAATCATTTTTGGGACACAGTAATAATTGTTCTTCTCCGCCATGGAAGGACATGTAACACAAGGTTAACACTGCTAACATGACCAGCTTTTTAAATTCAGATATTTGACAAATGGAAACTCAAACTCTTACAAAATACCTATTAATCAAAACACAAAATAAAAAAAAAAAACCAGAATACAGCAAGTAAGAATACATGTCCTCGCAGTCTGAACTTTGCCCTTGCTTGTGACTAGCTATAAGAAACAAGAAGAAACCCAGAGGGAGAAATCAAGGCGCCTTCCTAGTTACCATTAGACTTACATGTGTGTTATTACTGAAAGATCTCGCTCAAAGCACTGCACAGGTCTATGTGCTGCAAAACTACATTCATAAGCCATAATTTTCTGGCTGTGACTCTCACTCACCTCATAAAATTACTAGGTCTAATTACAAATTAATAATTTAATGATTATTAAATGATAACATGTGGCTTGCTTTTTGGAGCTCTTCTTTCTTGCTCCATATGTATTTTGTAGGCAACAATTTACTGCACAGGTATGTTTCCATTATTATGTGGCAAAAGTTTATAGGATTAAAAAAACCTTATAAAGCTAGACAACCTAGTTAGGTTTCTGTTCCACTAAGGAAGTAAAGGCCTGAAGTTAAGTACCTGGAATTTATCTTTAGACAGAAAGATATTCTCATTATCACCTGTTAAAGAATGTAAGTCTCTTCTGCAAACTGGCTAGCCATCACTATCTTGAAGATGAATGATTGTTTAGAGCCTGAAACATTTCCTTCTATTAAGGAAGAGAAGGCTTTTGAAAACTGGTACGTGTGAATTTACAGAAGAAAAAAGGGCATCATACTGAGTAAAAGGAAATGGATAGTTCCAAAAGATCACACTCCCCACATTTAGTCTGCTCTTACTTAAATATTTAAAGGACAATGACTGTGTATTTTAATAGAAATAGGCATTTTTTGATGAAGCCATATGAAAATATGCAAAAAGGCTGCGTCAATACAGGAGCTAAACAGCCAGGGAAGAGCCAAGAGTTAAAGAAAAGACTTTTAATCAAAATAATGAAGCTGTCAAACCAAAGGCCAAGTAGTCCCTGAACTACTCTTCAACACAGAATAAGCTGCAAATCTTTAACCACTTCACATCCAGGATCAACAATAACCTTCTCATCATACACATAAATTATGAGGACTCAAAACCAAGACACCTTGACACACTTAATCCCTCTATTCCTAAGGATGAAATCTGGGCTCTAATTGCCAAAGCCTTCAACAATGGAAAATATACACTTCTCGAAACACTGTTGAAAAGCTGTCAAAACTGATAAAAGTTCGAAGTGCAGGCAAGGTAATTCACTTAGTGGGCACTGAGGAAGTAGTCCTGCCACCTCTGTGTGCACTGGCCCACGGACACGCTCCTCTCTACCCAGCACTGAACAGAACAGCCTTGTCCAGGATGGAACTTTGTAAGGGATTCATCAGAATATGCATCTTTCTGAAAGACACCCAAGAGGAAGATGACTGATCATTGCAACACAGACAGCATTAGTGGCAAGTTTGCACCAGCTGAGGATTTCCCATGTAGAAACTTAATTGAAGGCATCAGGATACTGAGAGGACAAAATAAAAAAAGAGTAGCTCCAACACATACACAAAAAAGTGCCTACCTAATAGGCAGGTCTCATGAAGCAGCAAGAGATGCAGCCAACCTTTTTCTTTTCCTTTGTGTTCAAAACCAAAAAGAGAGAGTGCATTTGGTGCTCTAATAGAATGACCTCTCCCATGCCCCTCTCTGCACATGAGACTTACAGTTTTCTATACAAGAAGGACCACAGGTAGAGCAAAGGACATTCACAACTTGTCAGGTGCCATAAGATATGGACATACTTTGTACCAACCAAATGTTTAAAAATTGTATTTTCCATAGAAGACATAAAATTAGTAACTCCATCTAAACATTTCCCTGGGTTTTCAACAAAAATGTTTGCCTTCTGTGGCAATTCTCAAAATACTCGGATTAAAAACATAATCTAAAAAGTTTCCACTTCATCTACGTGCATGAATCTAAAATGTGCATTTTTCTT